CATCCGTTTGAATAGACTATACTAGTGCAAACTCCCGTCGCTTTACTCACGGCTTACGATAATGTGCTCATTTAACTGACGTACTTGAAAGATAAAGAGTTGTAGAATTGTTTTGCTACTGTTTTTCTGCACAACAGTGTACATAAATTAGACAAAGTCTGATGAAAACATTCAACGTTTTACTAATACCACACAACCTACTTTGCTTAGTGTACACACAGGAGTACAACATTTTCATTTCTTTACGGTTAATACAACTCTGTCAACTTAATAGATTGAATGGTCTGACGGTGCAAGTGTACACTCGAGACCTTATGAGGTTTTCCCCCTTGATCATAGGCTCCATGTTGTGTACTAGCGCACCATGTCAGATCTTGTACGTGACCTGTAAACTAAAAAATGTGGTCAATATGTTCAGAATGCCTTAAATCACACAGTCTGTTCTTGTATTTATTTATTTTTATTGCTTAAAATTGAAACAACTATACTGTCATACACAAATTTAATTAGTCAATTAATTCATCACCAATCACTACCTGAGGCGGTAAAAAAAAATTTCAGACAGATTTTGTTATTGTGTACAGTCGGAGGACTTCTTACAAGAATACACACTGCAGTAGGTCCTGGATAAAGAAAGTTTCTCTCGCAAAATTATTTCATCAATCAATAACATTACATTTGGAAGTTCATTTTCTTATGAGAAATCACTGACTGAGTATGGAATGTTTTGAAAAATGATGTCACTATTTTATGCATGATGTGTAGCCATAATACCGGTTGCTATCATACTATCTCGTATAGTGTACAGTGTACAGTGTACAGTAAGTACTGCACCACAGTACTTAGTACTCTTACTCTCGGTACTTTATTCTTGGAAGTCCCCGGTCTGTACGCTCTGGTACAATACTGTATAGCGTGCAGTACTGTACGATACAGTACAATACACAGTGTAAGGCAAATTCGAAAGTTTTCCTTTTCCTTCCTTCTTTATGGTAAAAATCATTGGCTAAGCTGAATGTCAGAAGTCACACTTGTTCTGTATAGTGTACAGCACAGTCTACTGTAGTACTATAAAATTTCTTTCAACAGTGTTTAACAGGAAAAATATCCATGTTAACTGCTTATTGTGTACTTGGAAACACTACTGACTTGACACCACTGGAGTGAAGCGTAGAGCTTTCTGACGCCGCTACGACCGTGGTGTACTGTACTTCGAAACTAGACCTGAGTTCGGTTCGGTTCGGTTCAAACCGTGATGATCTATAATCGAAACACTACTGTACTGACTTGACACCACTGGAGTGAAGCGTAGAGCTTGCTGACGTCGCTTCGACCGTGGTATACTGTACTTCCAAACATTACTGACTTGACACCACTGGAGTGAAGCCTACATGACAGTAGAGCTTGCTGACGTCGCTACGACCGTGGTGTACGGTACTATACTTCGAAACTAGACCTGAGTTCGGTTCAAACCGTGATGATCTATAATCGAAATACTACTGATTTGACACCACCGGAGTGAAGCGTAGAGCTTGCTGACGTCGCTACGACCGTGGTGTACTATACTTCGAAACATTACTGACTTGACACCACTGGAGTGAAGCCTACGGTAGAGCTTGCTGACGTCGTGACGACCGTGGTGTACTGTACTTCGAAACACTACTGACTTGACACCACTGGAGTGAAGCCTACAGTAGAGCTTGCTGACGTCGTGACGACCGTGGTGTACTGTACTTCGAAGCACTACTGACTTGACACCACTGGAGTGAAGCCTAGAGCTTGATACCGTACAGTACCGTACAGTACCGTACAGTACCGTACAGTACCGTTCAGTACCGTTCAGGAGAGCTGACCTCTCTATTCAGTCAGTATTCACTCGGTCGTGGACTTGCCCATGAGATTCAATTTATCTATTTACAAATGACTTCAACAATGGCGACTTTTGCCAATCATCATGGCTGTTTAATACAATTATCTTGTAATAGTAAAACAGCTCGACGCAATAAAGCGGAATCAGAATTTAATAATGGCTTAGTGATTACAGATCGATGTATTAGTGATGGCCAACTCTTTCAAGTCCATATTGATCGCAAGATTAATTTATGGTCTGGTTCTTTAGCCATTGGTGTAGTATGCAATTTCTCCGATGAAATCAATCTTCCAACGAGTGCAGTCGGATTTACCAATGATGCATGGATTTATTATGAGAATTCCATCTTTAAAAATGAGATTGTTTGTATCGATAGTTATGGTACAGATTTAAATAGTTTAAATGAAGGCGATAGTGTCGGTATTCGTTGGATTACAACACAAGAGAATGACTTGTCCACGTCGTCATCATCATCGTCATCTGATCCGTCTTGTTCATCCAAAGCGGATGTTACTTATGGCGATTTACACTTCTACGTGAATGGTGTCGATCAAGGTGTTGCTGCTACCAATGTACCAGCAAATATCTACGCTGTTGTCGATGTCTATGGTCGTTGTGCTCAAGTAACGATTATCGATCATCCAATAGGTAAGCTACTGTATCGAGAACACTCTGACTAGTGGCATCGGTCTTGCTTGTAACAATCAATTACAATTCTTATTTAAACAAGGCAATCAACTGTATCTCATCAGTCTTGTTACCGTACAACCTATTCATTCCATCTAGTTTGTCTATCCTATCTAAAAATCATCCATCATTCCTTCATGTGTCAACTTTTTCAATCATTTTATACCATTCTTGAATTTCATCTTGATTGATTGAATGAGGGCTATCAGAAAATTGTTATTTTTCAATGGAGTGCTAATTTATTGTTGCAATGATGATAGGAGAATCTCCATTAATTCCTACTCCTGGTGACGTAAACAAAGTCAATAGACCACAGACACAGGTTGGTTGTTCCATTATCATAAAATTAAATTTCGCACATAGCTTCCTGTTCAAGATAGGGGCTAAAAATACCATCTTAAGACATCATTTTACTGTCGGCTTTGGTCACTGTCTTGTTAATGTTGTATTCTCATCGTATGATAAAAGTTATCTAGCCAAGACGAGAATCAACTAAGCTACGTTCCACAAGAGCTATCCAATAATGCCATAGCACTGCCTACCATGACAACAAGTAAGTCTAAAATACTTAAAAGATAACCTAGTAAATTGAAAGATTCATTTTTTTCGAATTTACTCTATTCGATTAATCTCAGCAATAGCTATCCTAATCGATCGCAGTACCATATTATTATGGATCTTTTGCACTTTATTTACTGTTCATTACATAAAAATAGCCATCTTTTACTTTTGTTATACAGATACAATCACCTAGTAGGTAGAATATCCAACTATCCGTGCTGAATATAGCAATGATAGATATTATTAATAATAGTAATTACAGTCAATTGCCCTTCAAAATAGGATCATAGAAGTCAATAGTATCGGAGATACAACAAGATAGGACCATTACTGGTACTCTTTAGATAGTAGTTGTGTCATCTATGTAGGATCAATTACTATATAACACAAATAAAATATATTCTTGGACGATTCATGAATCAAACAGTAGATTAAGGGTAAAAGAAAACTACGGTAGTAATGTAGATAGATATTATAATATTTTGATTCATTACTAACTATTGAATAATAGAATGAGCTTTAATGAAGTTGATTGAATAAGTGACTCTACAATAATGGATATTGGAGATTTTATCACCTTTTTTAAAGTACTTTTGACTTCCTCTAGCAGGACAAGAATATTATGATAGCCGAGACAATGAAGATTTGATATTCCAGTCTCAATGCAGCCCTCAAGTAATTGTATCAATAGATTGCCGAACAGCTACACGTTGCAAGTAATACAATATTTCACTACATTATATCAACTCCTATCCGACATAACTATACGTAATTAATATAATATCTATATTAAGAAGAATATGCTTACCTCAATATTATAAATTACTTGCAGACATTACTACCGATCTTGTATGGCAGTACGTAAATACTCTTGGATGATTTTGATATAACTTCAAGCTTTCAGTATACAAAAAAATGGTAGTGATACATTGAAAAAGTCTCATTATTTTACTATTACCTTCGTTAACTATACTTTACCAACATTGCTAAGAGGTTGAATCCGTTAAATGATACCTTACTGTACAATATTTCCATCACAATAAATTAAAGTATTGTTCAACACCACTGTCACTGATATTAGAGTAGTGACATTGCCATCAATTAGCTACAATTTGTTGTAATTTAGTAATTACTTATCACAACGCCTTATCAATATTGACCAGTACCACTAAGTAGATATCAATTGAAATGACAATAGTTATAACATTGTTGGAGCACTCTAGGGTCTAGGCCTTAAGAGATGAGATTAAAAGAGTTTAGATCGGTTTTATGCCATCAGAGACATGCAATATCTATGCGCCATTAATAAGAGTGTCGTTTGGAATATGCTTTATTAATGCAATAGAACTTACATAGAGTCATCATATTACAAATATAGCCAATGTTAATTAACCTCACATATGATATTTATTCGTATTATCAACTTAGGTCTGCAAAGATAACCAATAGTGTTTGCACGATTGGTAGTAGACCAATTATGATCAATGAGATATTTCAAGTCAGATTAAACGAGATTGACATTTGCTGGTCGGGATCGATTGAATTGGGTTTAATTGCCACTCCTCCAGCGATAGAAAAGCTACCAACGTCACTAAAAAGTCTCAAGTTTTGTTGGGTTTTTTCCGAAAGTAACATAACTTATAATTGCCAGACTGTTATGACCAATTATGGCCATATTGATATGGATTGTCTTAGTGTAAGAAATAAACAAGAAAATACTTGATTGGTTCTGTGTTATATTAACTTTTTGATTGCTCTAAGATAGATAGCAGTATAGTGGTTATGAAAGGAGTAAGGGCCTTTGTGTTAAAATCATGATACAGTATAAGCGATACGTAATACAACTGTTGGCCTAATTATTAACGCTTAAACTAATAAAGTAACGTTTATGCATAGGTTGGAGACGTTATTGGAATGGCTATATTAGAAGATTCTACACTTCATTTTTATATCAATGGACACGACCTAGGCGTAGCCTCGGAAAATATCCCTCAGACAGTATACCCTTTGATAAATCTTTCCGGACGTATAATTTCCGTAACTATAGTTGGTAAGTTTAAAAATCATATTTGAATATCCGTTGAAACCAACAATGAATTATAACAAATTTTATTGAATAAACATAGAAATATAACTATTATTGATTTCATATTGTTTTTTGATACTTGCCTAATGGAATAATTATAGATAGTGTAGATGATGTACCTTTGCGAGAACGAACGCTTACTAAGAGTGAATCTATCAGGCAGAGACGTTCCGGTGTTATTAATTGCAGAAACTACGACGATGCTTTTAGCGTTAGTCGAGATTCAAGCTTATCACGTTCAAATTTGAGTGCAAACTCTAGCTACATGACTGGTAGTACGAGCGATGACGATTCGGAATTGAATAGTAGCAACAGCAGCAGTACTTGTACAGATAGTGATAATGATGATGAGAATAGTGATATCGCTCCAGGTACTGCAAGATTAAGTGTAATACATCAAACACTAGATAGGCAGTCTTCAATCAATAAGATAAATTTTCATAACTTACATGGCTATAATGTGGTGATATCTGGCGATGGATTAACAGCTAGTCGCCCATATGCGCTTAATGAATTTAATAATGCTGTAGTTTTAACTGATCGCCCATTACGTAATAATGAACTATTCGAAGTAGCCATAGAAAAAATGATTGATCGATGGTCCGGTTCAATTGAAATTGGTATGAAAAGTTAACTGATTAATTATGTCATCTAAATAATTTGCTGGCTCAAAAATTTTGTCGATTCTTTATTTAAATAGGAGCTACGCTGGTCAAACCTACAGAATTAAAATTTCCTGATACAATGACCGATGTCGATTATTCGACATGGATGTTGTCTGGTGCATCAGTTATGCAGAATGGCTCCACTATTTCTAGCGATTACCCTTGTGACTTGGACAAGGTTAAGATAGGTAGTATCGTAGGGGTTGTTCGTTTTTCTGATGGGACACTCCACTTTTACTTGGATGGTGAAGATAAAGGAATTGCTGCATCTTCAGTGCCTGAAGGCAAGCATTGCTTGACCTCATGCTAAATATCTATTATTTTTTCTGTATTCCCTAACGTTATTGTTTTTATCTTGATTCTATATATAGGCGTTTATGGAGTTATAGATTTATACGGTCAATGTGCTCAAGTATCGATATGCAATAATAGTATTGTTTGTACTAATGGGGATACAAGACCTTCTACTCAATGTAATGTTGGCAATGATCATAATCAAAATATAATATCTGATAGAGAAGAAGCATCGGCAAACTACCGTGGTCAGTACTTATTATACTACAGTATGCCTATGATAGAATTTACATATATATAACCGTAACGTGCTACGTTTCTGATATATTTTGACTAGTATTTAATTTTATGCCTATAGATTCATCCAATAACTCAATCAAGCATTCTTTCAGAGAATTATTTGGTAAAAATATTACGTTATTCAATCAAGACTGTTCCGCAGTTCGATCTCGTAGTTTCAACCATGGTATATTGTTTAGTAAATCAAAATTGGAAAATGATGAAATGTTTGAGGTATAAGTCTAAATTTTTACTGTCAACTTTAGCTACCTCGTGCTTGCTCTAATTAGTTATTATCATATTAATTGTGTTCCTGTATCATTTTATTATAATATTTATTTAGATAAGAATTGACGAGATTGCATCTCAATGGTCGGGGTCGATCGAAATTGGTGTAACATCCTGCATTCCATCTTTGTCGACTTTACCACCTTCTGCTACGGAGCTTCAGAATGATACATGGATGATTACTGCGAAAGGCATTATCAGTAATGGAAAGCTTGTAGAAGAAAGATATATTCCGTCGTTGGATCGTCTTAATGTAAGCAGATTACTGTTTAATTGTTATGAACGTGCATCTTACGTTTTAATATAAAATTAGTAATATCTTGAATATATTTATAACTGCTCATATATATTCGAACTTCATTAGCTTGGAGATCGTCTAGGTGTCATGAGAAAGCGGAATTTGTCTTTACATTTTTTCCTGAATGGAACAGATATGGGTATAACGGCTTCAACAGCATGCGCAAATGTCTTTGCTGTGGTTGATTTATATGGGAAAGCGAAAACTATTTCTATTGTTAGCAGTAACGCTAGTCAAGCAGATGCCTTAAGAACAGAATCCCGCTTGTCTTCGTATATTGAAGGTAAGTTATTGGGTAATAGCAACATAACATTTAACTATGAAGGATTAATATGGATTGATATTAATATTTACAGTACTTTGCTACATTATTTTGATCAAATAACAGTATCGTCATGCCAATCAGTACCAAGATTTAATCAGTATATATTTAAAATTATATCTATTGAATATATTGTAGCCGCTGTGGATGAAATAGCTCGTGAATTAGCTCATGACCTGATTTCAATGACACCATCAAATCATTCGGTCGCAACTGCTGACGGTTCTGAAGGTCAAAGTGTAAGTCGGAACCGATAAGATTATTTGTCCATTTTCTTGTATCTGGTCCATTTATTACTCTATAAGATGCCTAATAAGCAATATCTCACTAGGAGAACGGAGATAGTCAAATCATATATGAAGCTGATGAATCTTACGCTGGAAATTTTAGTGACAGTGACAGTTCAAACTCATCTTTAATTACTACAGACAGACACAAGAGGTACGCTTATTTTAAACTGAAATAGAGTGAATTATACTACGTAGGAAATACTTACATCAAGGTTTTCATATTTTATTAGTGGAATGACGTTTTATTATGACTGTGCGAAAAACATTATTATCAAGAATGATGGGCAGACGGCAGAAAGATGTCGTGGCTACGATCATGCTGTTGTTGTCAGTCAAGATCCTTTACTCGATAATAAATTATTTCAAGTAATTAACGCACTGTTTTTACTACGAAATTCTCTACGTAGATACATGTAGCTATCAGATTCGTTGCGTATTACTTAATTTGATTAAAGTTCTTTATTACAATGTGTTTAAATTAGGTAAAAATAGATACCATTGATGAGCATTGGTCTGGAGCCATAGCTATTGGTGTTACGGGTTTATCTCCTAAGCAATTTGATAATATTTCTACGGCTGTTAACGTAAAATTAGCAACATGGGTTATCAGTGATTGTTCGGTTTATCGTAACTCTGTCCGGACTGTGGACCATTACTGTACAGATCTTAAGGAGTACACTGTAACTGATGTTATTGGCATAATATGTGATGAGCAGCATTGCCTCCATCTTTATATCAACGGCGTTGATCAGGGTGTTGCAGCAGAAAATATGCCGCCTATTCGGTTAGTGGTATGAACAGTATAAAAACGGTGGTCTTCCTATCTATGCATTCATTAACATGATTAATAGATTAATTCTATTCCGTATTAGATAAGTTATAAATTTATAAGTATTTTACATCCTGATTACGTAGGTATGCATTAGTGGATCTTTACGGGAAATGCAAGCAAGTTACAATATTACCCGATAATTTCAATTCTAAGCCTTTAAATGATGTTGGCCAGAATGATTTAGTAGAAACTATAAGTAAAGCATCACAAAATTAAATAAATATTCTGTAATTTCAATAATTTTAAAATCCTCTCTCACTTCTTGTACTATCTTTATTTTACTTGCTGGTTTAGATGACAACGTTGTTAAAGAAAGACATTCGTGTGATTATATGGATACGATTTGCAAATTTCGAAGTTCTCTTGGTTTGCCACAAGCATACTTTGTCGATAGTGACGATAGCATTAACTGTTTTTGTATATCATGTTGCGATAAGCGAAACTCAACTTGTAAATATTTTTATCGGGGCAACCCTCCCCTAAAGACATACCCCCCGAAATGTTGGTGCAGATTCACCCTAAGGTTAGCCATGCAATTACTGTACACAGTATATAAATTTTTATAATATTGTGAGGAAAAGGGAAAAAATTTGTTTAAATTTTATAGCAACATATAATTATTCGACTTCGACCATTTTTAGGTTGCCACCCAAGCTAATAGATAACGTAAATCTTAATGAATGGTACATTGGATATTATCCATCTACTGTAGGGAATGTTAGACAAATTTTAGATAACAGAATACTGGCGACTGGTGAGATTACCATTTTGAATTATCTAGTACAAGAACGTTATACTGTACACTATTTTAGAAAAAAGGAATGATCCAAACAGAATAATTTGAGCTGATGTAGTTATTATTATCTTTTGCTCTACAGGCAATGAAGATGATTATGACAGGGATATTTCTGTATCAACTAATATTTGTCACATTCAAGAACATGTTGAAATATCACAGTTTAGGTAATAGACGTTGTAACAGAATTAGTAGTTAATCTTTACGAAATTTATATTTGGATAAAAATTCTGCAAGATAATTTATTCCAATAATTATAAAGTTGATAATTATATCGTTGCAGGCACGAAGTATTTGGTTTAGTCTCTGTTGCCTTTGAAGTTTATATCAAGCCTGACGCGACTACTATAGCTGACATCGAAGGAACAGGCGATCAGTGTTCCATGTTAACTTTTAAACATTCACCACGAAATATGATTCTATCCGCCCTGTTAATCAAATTGGAGAGCAGCAGTGAATAGATCGTGATGTTACGTTAATAATACATTTATTCACGTCAAAGTACTGTGAACATAGCAATCTGGAACCGAAAAAGTTCCTTTACAATTCATATGCATACGGCATCGATGCTGTAGGCTGGCATGGTATACTATGGTATGGTCCTAATCGCTGGTAGTATTAGTAACTACAGTACGAGGTTATATCGATCGATATGTATAGAAAATATTGATAATATAGTACTACCTGGATGATTCGTTGGCACAAAGGTATAACGATTGTAACAAGTTATCTTGATAGCAAAAGTAGAATTTAATTTGTAATACCTTACTGTTTATAAGACAGTTTAATATTGATGGTGTAATGGTTCTCACATTCATTTTCTGTATTTATCATGTAATCCTATTTGCTTGATTGTTAATATCAAAATACAGCATAATATAAAATGTATCAAATATCCATTTACATTATGATAAATTATTTATAGATGAAATTTATAAATATATATTTTGTATTACACATTTATAACCTAAAGTTGATAATCCTATGACAAGCAGTTCCTACCGGTAAATTATAACTGTTTATTAATAATCAATTTAATTAGAAGTGTTTTTAACCGTATTAAAAATACATGATATAACAGTTGTCTATAACGTTTTCATGGCCTTACATATTATTTATATATATATATGTATATGAAGTGTAAAGTGCATTTTTTTATAAAAGTATTCCGTCGAAATCGATAATCAAAGTAGTAGAAATCACTGTAATGGAATCTATATGTAATAATATATTGAGCTAAAATGATATTGTGCAATCATCATTTTTGATCTCTATCACGTTCGGTTAACTGTTGTTTTAATGTAATCATACCTAGAACATTTTTATGTAAAGTTCTACTATATGTATATGTCATGTTCTACATTTAATTTTTATTACCTCGAATATCATCAAATTTTAGTTATTGCACTCGATTAAGATTGTTTTGTAGATGTTTTCTATTTTATAAAATCAAATCGATCCGCTTCGATAAAGAATAGTAACTCTCTTTATACTGGATGGCCCAGTTGATGTTGATATCAATTCTTGAACTAACTTTCTGCATATGTTAATGTATCAATATTTTTTTACTTTAACCATTTGTACTAATTGTATATATAATTATTATTGTAATTTTATTCAGTTCATTTATTTTAGTAATTGAAACATTTTATGATCTATAGGCTTGCACAATTGTCATTATTAAAAGTTATCATAACAATAGAGGGTGTGGACATTTCTTCTTCTTCTTGAATGTTACAATTTTTCATCAATTGTGTATACTGTAGAATTGTTCACTATTACTGTTAATAGTACTGTAGTGTCATAGTTAGAGTATTCGAGTAATTGTCATTATTTGTATTTTACAGTACTGCAGTTTGGATTTAAAAGTTGAGCTAAGGACATTTATCAAGATAGATGTCTATCTTCTGATATTTTAGTACTGTAATTGACTGAGGACCTATCCATTGCATCATTAACATAAGGACGAATTAAATCTGTTTTTCCATCATCATGGCATCTGATAATCGGATGTTAATTGCGGCCACGAGTCAAGGTAGATTAGGGGTTTTAAAATCCAATAAGGTCGATGTCTTGCGTTTTATGGACGACTATGGCGCCAGTCTGGTTCATCATGCTAGCCGTGCCGGCCAGCTAGACTGTTTAAAATGGTTTGTTCAAGAGTGTAATGTGGATCTAAGTTTAAAAAGTAAAACAGGCGCAACTCCAGCCCATGATGCTACTGCGAGTGGTCAATTAACTTGTCTAAAATGGTTAATGCAACAAGATTTTCGTTTACGATCTACGTTTGATGACTACGGTTATACTTGTACACATCTTGCAGCTAGGTTTGCCTCTTTTTAGTACTTCATATTGTCTCCATTTCAATGTTATGACTAATAAGATTAAATCAATATTCATCAAAGTTGTTTTTCTTTCTCTTGTCTGTAAACTCTCAATTTAGATTTAATCATATTGAAATACTGAAATATTTAGTGGAAGAATTAGGCTGTTCCTACGCTGTTGTGACTATCGATGGAATTACTCCGCTCCATCTAGCGGCTCTTCATGGTAGTTTAGACTGCGTTGAATACTTAACACGAGAGATGCCAAGGTAGGAAAAAAAAGTTAAACGCAATATACCAGTACTTAATTTAAGATTAAATAGCACTTGAATCATTTGGGATAACTTGTCAATATTGCGAAAATGTTTATTGCTTCTATGACACTGAACTTTCTTGTAAGCAATTTACTTTGATAGTACCCGACAGAATGATTATGCTGTCATTGGGCGATAGCATAAGCAAGAAAAACCTAAAGCGCTCTTTCTTTAATATTACCTACGGTAGAATTTGGACAATTTTCTGCTGGTCATAATGCATAATAATTGTCACATTTGTCGGAAGTTCTTAGTAGACTAATTATAACACTTTATTGATCAGTATCTACAAAGGATTCGTATAAATACTTTATTTACTATAGATTGAATTAATCTTTATTTTTCATTGCCTTATCTGTTTCCAAAAATACGATAACTAAATCCGATCCAAGGCATAATTTTCTTGCTGATTGTATTGATTTTCTTTCGTTGACGGGTCTTATAAAAAGCAATAATCCAACTATGTATGAAATTTAACTCATTTATGTCAATTATGACAAGTTATCCAATCAAAAGATTTTTTCATCTAGTTGTATCTTTAGTGATCTTCACTTAATCTGATTGCAAAGTTAAGATTGATGTAATGAAAGAATGGAAGAGTTTGCGATTTAATTGGACATTATTGATCCAATTTTATTGGATTAAAACCTGTTAGGACGGATATTATTTTATTTTATTTTAACTATGCGATTTTTAATACCCTAAAATTTCAACATAAGCTAGACGACAAATTTCTAGAAAATGTACTCCTGAGATGGTTAAATCTGTAAATTTAAGCTTGCAATAATGGAATTAGTTCCTTATGCTTGCTTTAGTAGTTGTCAGAAACCTATGATATCGCAGCTAATCGATGATCCTATATACGCTTATACAGTATACAGTACGAGTACATCATTATATCCTATATTTGCAACGGCGTATATCCTGATAAGAAATTACCAACTCTACTTGTAAACGTCGTCATCAAAATTTTAGATATTCATGACGGATAAATTTAGCCCGGTAGAGTAGAAGTTCATATTCCTATTAATAAACACTATCATTTATTTTCTGATACCATGTTGTATCACTAGTCGAAATCAGCAATTCTACCAGAATACACTGTTTTAAGATTGAGAATAACCATCATGAACTTTTATCATGATTGATAAATCAGATTAAACGAAAGTTAAGAATCTTGTATCATCAAAGCTAGACTTCTACTTCCGTCTTAACCATCGTTTCAGATATTGATCGGGATTAAGTTGATAAATAAGATAGAAGTAAACGCTTTTACTTTAGATATTGCACCATCAAGGCTAGAAATCTAATTCCGTCTATATAACCATGGTTTTAGATATTGATTAAGTTATCTTTTTCCTGTTATTTCATTTTTCGAATTATCGGATATTTAATGCTATTTGTAAGACAAAGTCCATATTGAGATCTTACACCGTGTAGTAGTTAGTTAGTCATTCTTCCACAATCTAAATAATCAATACTAATTTTTAGTTGTGCAAAATGGAGAACGACAGAAGGAATAACACCAGTCCATTTAGCAGCTCATGGTGGCAATTTAACATGCCTACAGCAATTAACACAAGGAATTCAGATAGATTATCGTCAACATAAATGTAACCAAGGTATTACACCGGGGCATTATGCAGCTCAAAATGGCCATCTTGGTTGTATTAAATGGCTGGTAAGTACTTCAATCGTTCTAATCTCACGTAACTTACAATCTTCAATTTTGAATACTGAAAAGTAAGAATTAATTTCTTTAACTTATGGGCCTAGATTTCTTGTCTGCTTACAATTTTTTCATTCTCTTTCTTCTTCGCGACATCTTTACCAGTATCAATTACATCCGGAATCTTTCTTGGCCAACCAAGATGACAACAATGGTGGCAACTATTTACATTATGCAACCTCTGTGGGTTAGTTAATCTAAAATTTTGACTAAGTTTAATATCTCTTGCAGTTAGAATCTAAATTATACAAATATCGCTTAGAATTTACAACATTGTTTATTCTTCTATTAATGATATAAACTAATCGCGGGATCCAAAATTTATATTTCTGCTATAGGAGAAATAGAAATAGTAGAATATTTAATAGACATTGGTATTCTGTGTAAGCCAGATGATTTTGGCAACACACCAATTCATGATGCTGCTCATCATGGACATCGAAAAGTGCGTATAACCTTTAATGATTAACATTAGTTTTGAATCTTGACATTAGTACCATTTTGAAGTAGTTTCTTACAATATGAGAACTATAATCTTACGCTATATAGACCATCCCTACAAGATTTATGAAACTTTGTATTCTATCTAGCCAATTGATTGTATATCAATTATTGATTTGAGTAAGTTAGCCTCTTTTTAATGAAGGATTTTTTATTTTACTGATAGTGTCTTCAATTGTTACTGGAAAACTTCTCTGCGATGTTAGATTATCGCGATATGGATGGTCTAAATGCGATAGAAATTGCTGAAAATAATCATCATTATGAGTGCTGCAATATCTTAACAAGAAGTACTTTAAAACAGGTTGTGAATTATTTTAATTTGCGAGACAGCAATGATCAACTTTGTTCAGCATTATTTTAGCAGTACCATTTTCCCTTAATTGTATTTTTCTACGGTCATTTTCTTTTTCTTTTCTTGAACTTTTCATTTACGATGGGGGCAACTAGAATAAAGTCAACGGTAGAAAAAAGTCAGAAAGTAAGTCCTCTAAAACTAGAGTGTCGAGTAATGATAACAATAATTCAGGTCGACGAACCGATTTAGAAAGAAAGTCTTCTAAAGCTAATTCAATCAATGATGACAATAATAC